ATATTTGCATCACAGTATGTGACTTGGCTCCTTAACTATCTTTTTTTAAGCTCTGAAATCAATTGGAACACTTCTCAGTTTTTCAGGTGGTACTTTTTTCTTCTCATTGCATTTGGAAGAGACGTTTTAAGAAAATTTCAATGTTTTGAAACTGGGTAGGACATAGAATCTATAAGATTTCTTTTATTGTGCGTTAATCCTAGTAATATTAATAGTTTGTAAAATATATTCCTGCAAAAGTCAACATTAATGAATTATGAGTGAGCTAGCATTAGCTTCCCAGGTCTTTGGCAAAACCAAGCTCTCTCTCCTTTCTGTTAGTGGCCCTTTCTCTCTTTCCTTATTTTAGCTTGCCACTGAAAATCATTTAAAGGTTACTAACTATAATTATTCAATTGAATTTTTAAATTCTATTTCCTAATGTAAAACAATAGGTAGAAATTTTATATTTATCTTACTTAAAAATTCTGTTTTGAACATCTGTACAATAGAATCCCATGCAACAATTTCAAAAGAAGGAGGTTTATCTTTGTTTTATAACATGTATATGTCTGCAATATATTATGAAGTAAAACAAAAGGGACAGGCTGGAGTGCATGTGGTAAACATAGTAAAAATCAATTTTCTTCATACATACATACATTCATATTTATGTAAAATCCAGGGAGATGTAGGACAAAAATAGAAATCCTGGTTGTCTGTGGGTGGTTAGAATTCCAGCTGATTTTTATTTTCTTTGTTAACCCTTTTAAAATGCATTGTGGTTATGAACAGATATTGATGTTGTCATTGAAAAAGCATATTACATTAAAATCAGTCTTTAATGGATGGCATTGAGCATGGTGGAAATGATGGTGATTAAATAGATTGCCATCTGCTGAAAGTGTCATGAAATTCTTTCTCTCCCATTAGAGGGCACTTCTTAAATCTCATAAAATCTGAGTGAAAACCAAAAGGGGGAACTTGCTTCTCATGAAGGCGGGGCCTCTACCTAATGGGCTGTCCCTCACTTTCCATCAAAGTCCAGTGATCCCTTGCTCCTTGGGGAGGCGGCTCTTCCAGCAGCGACCCGTGACATTTAATCCATGACCCTTCTCCATGGTTTTACAGCCCTTACATCTTCTACAGTTTTTCATTTCTCCTCAGTCTGATGCATGAAACTTCCCAGCAGATTTTGATTCCCTGTCCAATTGGACACCAAGGCTTACCTCCTCTTTCCTTGTAATGTCTGCACCCCCATCACACTCTGCCATAACGAATCAGTAGACTCTTGTCCTCCGATGCTTAAAGAAATGCAAGACCCCCAACAGGTCTTCCTCCTCTCTCTTCCCCCCTTATTTTATCCACAACTCCACTCAATTCATATTTTTAAAATGTTATTTTATATATGTTACTCTTTTGTTGAAAGACCTATAACATGAAGAAAAAATACAGCTCAGAATTCAAAGCCCTCCATCATCTAATCTCACCCCTTGGACAGCTTTGTTTGGGCCCAAGCCCCTCAATAAAGCCTCTGTTCCATGATAACAACTGACTCACAGAGTTGGCCTTGAACTTAAGCAGTTCCAACTGATGGCTCTTAGTGTTTCCTGTGGTTGAAATGACTTACCTTGTGGTTTCCACCAGACTTTTCTTTACAGTAAGAAGCCAGGTTTAGGTTCCCTACTGACTTGATCCTTATACCTTTCCTCTCCTAAAATCCTGGGCTACCTACTCATTCAGTTCTGTGCCTTAGGTTTCTTGACTCCTTTATGGTGTGCAGGGATGTTTCTCTTCAGCAAAATAATAAATGCAGTAAGAGCAAGAGTTGTGTTTCATCATTTACATTTTCAAATCAGATAAAACTGGTGCACTTGAGTGGCTCAGTGTTAAACGTCTGACTCTTGATTTCAGCGCAGGTCATGATCTCAGGGTCCTGAGCCCTGCACAGGACTCTGTTCTGAGCTCTGGTCTGCTTGAGATTCTCTGTCTCTTCTTCCAGCCCTCTCTCTGCTTGTACACCTGCCAGCTCTCTTGCTCAAAAATAAATAAATAAATAAATAATTACATAAAATCACCTATAATTATGCCTCTTCAGTAATCCCTTAAGAGTTGGCACTCAATAAATATCTCTTGATTAATTGAAACATTAAGCAGCATGTTTTCTAAGCATGCTGCATGTACAAGGGTGTAACACTACACTTTCGAATTTTTATATATAATAATGAAAGAATAAAAATCCAAGACAAATCAGTAATACAAATCAGTGATGATGAGTTAACCTCTGTGCAAACCACAAATGTAAGTTTACCTTTTGCCCAACTTCCTACTTCTGAAAATGTCCTTTTCTCATTGAGTGTCAGTGTTTAGATGAAGCATTTAAAAAGTTTGCTCAAAACACACAATCATGGCTTGCCTCCAGCAGAAATAATGCGTGCCCCTGGTTCTCTTTGTAAATAATTGAATTTGCCTCTGAAGTTCAAGAAGTTCAAGATTTCTTTGTGTGTGTGAAACGGACGGCTTCTGTTTTCTCTTTATATGCAGCCGACTCTAATCTGAGGCAGAAGAAATGCTGTGCAATTGGGATTTGGTGAGCAGGGAGGATAACAGAGATTTTCAAGACTTCCATAGAGGAGTTATTTTTAAGTACAGAGAATGTCTATCCCCATGCTGAAAGGGCCTTTAGAAAATGTTACTGGAATTGAAAAGCCGCGGGGGCAGTTCCCATCACCTGGGCGAACGGTGCCAGTCCGCAGGCCGTTGCTGCCCTCTGCTGCATGCACATGGGCATGGAGGGGCTGTCGCATGGGGCTTGTAGCTGGAGGACACCAGGTGTCTTCCATTAATATTCTGTGGGCATCTGCAATTTTTTCTTCTCTTAGAGCCTGGGTGAACTCCAATGGAGAGCTAGTCAAATCTGATGACTCCAGGCCACAGAGGTTTCTAGCTCCAAAACCCACAGACCAAGCTCTCTAAGGCACACCCTGAGAGGACAGATTTGCCCAGCTGCCCAACCCCAGTGGAAGGCAAGGATTCCAAGTGTCTGTAGCTCTGGAAAATAAGTGATGTTTTCCCTTTTTCTGAATTTGAGGGATTTTTTTTTTTAAGAGGTGTTTTAGTTTAAAGCACTAGGAGCATAACTGCTTCAAGAGGACGTATTCTTAGAGAATTCAGTAAGTTTAGATTTTTATGGATTTCATGTTGGTAAATCCTCTTAATAGGACTGGTGGAGTGAGGTGACCGAAGTCCTTCCCTGGGGTTGTCATGTGTCCCAACGGAATGGGAACACGAACCTGCATATCAGGATCTCCTAGCCTATGTTTGCCACTATACGTCATCACTGTGATTTACTAGAATTTCTGCGGGTTAAGGGAAAGAGATGAAGGCAGTCAGAACAGGGACATCTCCTGACTTTCAGTCAAAGTCTTTGCACTCCCCAGCCTCCGTGAAAGCATCCCTGTCAAGACCACCTGGCCCAACACCTCTAGGGATCTGAAACTAAGTGTGGAGGTGGGCATGGGGGTGAGAATAAAGGTCTGAGGAGCCCTGAGCTAGGAAATAAGTAACTCCATCTTCTGGCCTTTGCAAGAAACATCATTAGCTTTGTGGTGAGAAATTGCAATGATAGTTGTCATGGCGAGTGTTCCCAGTAGTGGTACAGAGGGTAGCCTGGTGTAGAGGGTGGAGGGTAGTCTGGACATCCAGGACAGAACCCCTGTTTCACCACATGCAAATCTCTGTTCTCCCAGTTAAATTCTGGTCTTCTAAATGGCAGAGGTAATGCCTTATGTCTTAGCATCGTCCATATTCCTCCCAAGTCCTCCTGCAGGGACAGATCAGTATGTACAAGATAGATCAGTGTATCATGATGTCGTGATACACGATGACAATATACATGACAACAACGTGACCAGAATTCTCTCTCCCCAAGACCCCCATAAAACAATGACCTTAGGAACACAGCTCCGCCATCTCATGTTGTCTTCAGGCTTGCTGGCTGCCGCCCTATTGTGGTAGTGAAATCAGGGTCACAGAATATTTCACCAATGGTTCATATGGTTGCGTGTAAACACATGTATTTCTTTGGTCTTATTCTTTGTCCATCAACCCTATGCTGTAGTCCTCAGCCCAATGCTTCTTCTCTTAAGGTTGGAAGGTTATTTTGTTTCAAGCTAGAAAAACCAGTATGTGGTATCTTACCTGGTGAGGAAGCCATCATATATGAGGAGTTGCCTCCCTAAACCCCAGTCTCAGTCCTCTGTAAATGGAAGTGACGGGGCAGATATCCCAGGCCTAGTAGCTGGCTGAGGTAGGAGGTTCTCTGCCTTTGGATTCAGGTTGTTTCGGCCTTACTCTCTCTGGTTTTTGGCTGGGACACAGACAAGTTCTTCTGCTGTCAGAAGAAAAAACAAAAAAATCCTCCAGCTGCCGGGGTGAGAGATTCCCCTGTCTCACCTCCAGCCTAACCCAGATGGGGGTTGGAAAAGGAGCCCTCCCTTCTCAACACCCCTCCCCCCCACCCAGGAAATGTGGACTTTCCTGCATTAGGCGTGACAATAAAATTCGGCTTGACAGCTGATGTTACCCTCCGTTACTTTTCAGATTGTATTAAAATTAAGTGTGTTAATTCTTTGTTCTTTCACCCAGGAGCCATTCTGGAAAGAAAACATATTTTAAAAGTGAACAGAAAAACTGTTGAGAAAGACACGAAGCTCACATTTATTAAATGACTTTGTGTTCTTGAAAAGAAATGTATAAAAAGCACATTATGAATCGCTCTGCATGGATTTCCTTTGTTTGGATTTTAGAAGCAGCATGACTGACACAGAGATCCTGAAGGAGAGAATCTTTGGATCCTGAGAAGTCTTTTAATGAAGGTGATACACAAAATTTCAGAGAACAGTTTCAACATTGTTCTGGTGAAGGTTATACTTAGCTCTGAACCACATTACTTTCCTGTCTACGTTTCATTTCCTGGGGTCTTGCCAAGTGATAAACAGACCCAGGCGTGCAGTAGGTTTGGGGTTTTTCTGCACAAATAGGGGAGCTAGAGTTTGCTTCAAGGCATCAGTTGACGTCCATGATCGTGGAAATGCTGGCGTAAGGCCTTCAGGAGATGATGGAGAAAAAATGGACCTACTGTGCTGTCTGTTCCATCATCCAGATACATTTCGTCAGGGGTAAGCCTTCCAGTTGTCCTGTCTTGTCAGACCGGCTGCTTTGGGGTGTGGGGCCTCTGTTCATTTAAAAAGCTTGTGACTACTGCTGACATTGATCACCAAAGGCAGATCATTGCTAAGGTTTTCAGTTACAAATTTAAGTGGCAGCTATCGGAGAGATGTTAGAGTCTAGAAATGATTACTAATGAGCACTAAAAACAAGAAGGGAATGAGTGGTTTGTGCCACTGCTCTGAGACATTTTCACCCATTTCCTTCCTAAGAGGATCTCTGGAGTAACTGGAAATTATGCTTCTTGGAAATGAAATGCTCTCCACATGGTCGTCAGAACAACTCCCGAATTCTAAAAAAAATCACAAAGCCACCAGTGCTGTGGGAACCCTGCTCAACTTTTTCTCTCTCTCGAGGATCCTTTTTCTTTTGTATATAACAAGTATTACTCCTCCAAATATGAATGTCTTTGGGATTTAAACATATGTTGAATTTTAATGAGGCATGTGTAGATATGGACCTGGAAGACAAAGTAGGGTCCTTACAACACTGGGAACCGGTGCCTTTAGGGTCTATTTAAAAATAGCAGGAGGAAAGATTAGTTGTGCATTCCATAGCATGAGGGAATTATTGAGATCCTGAGTGTCTTAACAATTAACTATGCTTTACAGATAGAGCTACAAAGATCTTAAGGAGAATTTCTAAATCAAAGGAGACTTGGGAATACAATGCTGTGGATAGAATCAGAGGCATATTATCAGGCAGAGGAGAGCTTACAGGGAGCGACATTAAACTGTACTAACCTCTGCCTACCCAAACTTTTGAATCCATGAAAGTGTAATAATTCCCATTTGTCAAGTACCTTAGAGAGCCTTGTTTCTTCTCTGTTGCTTGTCATCTTTTTATCTTTTTCCTTTGTGAGCTTCAGTGGTACTTGTCATAATAATATATCATTCCTGGAACAGTGTTCCATTAATGCTAAAATGGAGGCCTCCACTAGAGAAGGCATGTCAAAGGCTCAATGCTTAACATATTTTAAGTGCCTTGTACTATGTGGTCAGAGAGCTGATGGGAGAGGATCTTCTTCTTTTATGTCTAGTATTTCAAAGTGTTGATGACAGATGATGCTGACCATAGTTTATCTTCAGTGGAAACTACCTGAGGTATTTTCTCCCTTCCTCCCCTCAGGAGCCCTAACTGCATGGACATGGAGGTCTTTTTGATGTTCATAGTGAACGTCAAATTTCTTACTCTTCTCAACCAATTTGGGAGGCAGTTGGGTTGTTATGAAGGTTAGAGAAAGAGCACGGACTTTAGGCAACCAAATGCATGTTCTTTTACTGAGGTGTGACTTGAAGCTAGTCACTTAGTCACCCTGTGCCTCAGTTTCCTCTTTGATAGAGTTTTAACATCATTCTGTGGTAACTGAGGAGGATTAAATGAAATAGCCTATGGAAAAGCATCTTGTGAACATAGATTTTTAAAAACAGCCCTACACATATCAGTTATTTTTTCAGTTTCAGAAAATATTATTGGTGTGTTATATGCAGCTCTTAAAAAAATCAATAATACTCATTGTAAAAGTAGTTGTCATAGTAAGTTTGCTGGTGGACTTCAATTTCTAGTAGGCTTAATTTTATTCACAGGTGGTAAGAGAACTTAAATTATCCTTTGGACAGCCCAGCAGACAAAAGAGAAGACTATCTCTCTAGAGTCCTTAAGCAAATGCCTCCTCATTTGTACTGAGTCTCTGCTCCTTTATGGGGATCATGCACTGGCTCCCTCCTATGTGTAAGGCAGCCAGAGAGAAAGTTTCTTAGTTGCTCTCTCACCTCACCAAAGTGACCAAGATTTAATTAAATAAGAGTCATCCCACATGAATCATGTAAGCGAATGGCTCATGTCCTTCCTTTTCAGGAGTATGGGAAAAAGCAACCAATACAGAAGACATCTATGCTTCCCCTGGCTCTGATGTCAACCTGACCTGTCAAACGTGGAAGAAAGGCTTCTTGGTGCAGATGCAGTGGTCCAAGGTCACTGATAAGTTGGATCTGATTGCCCTTTATCATCCTCAGTATGGCTTTCACTGTAGTAATGGCGGTCCCTGTGAGTCACTGGTGACTTTCACAGAAACTCCCAGAAATGTGTCCACGTGGACTCTGCACTTAAAGAACATGTCATCCTCGCTCACTGGGAAGTATGAGTGTAGCTTTACTCTGTATCCAGAGGGTTTTCGGACTAAAATCTACAACTTAATCCTTCAGACAAGTGGTAAGCATAACTGTAGAGGGAAAGGAGCACACACTTTCACTCAGCTCTCACTCATTCGACAGATGTGTCTTATGTGCCAAGCGTGTGCGAGACACGGTGCTAAGTACACAGAGGTTGGGCAGAAAGAGGTATTGCCCAGAAAGGAAGACAGAAATTCATCACATAATTCCACAAATAAATGTAAAATTGGAACAGTGACAAGTGTTAAGGATAAGTGATAAAGGTCTTGTGAAAGAGCATGTAATAAGGGCCAGGGAAATTGACCCTGAGAAAGCAACACAGGAGCAGAAGTCTGAAGAAAGGGTAGACATGAACACCATTAGGAGGTGGGAAGTTTGTGAGTGATCCAGGGGGAGGGAACAGCTTGTGAGAGGGCTTTGTAGTGTTTGAGGACATGAGAAAATGCCAGCGGGGCTGCAGCGCAGAGGTTAAGGAATGAGGTGAGAGACACGGCAAGGACCAGATCATGTCAGATCTTGTCAGCCATATTTGAAGTTTTGATTTTTATCTAAGAGCCATAGGAAGACATTGAAGTGTTCACAACAAAAGGATGGCATGACATTTATAGCCTGGCTGTACTTGTGTCAGAAAAAGATCGTGCCGGCTTCAGTAGGAGAATAGAACAAAAATGGGCAAGAAGGGAATGATGGGATTGAGCTAGGAGACAGTTCCAGTAGCCCAGAGGAGACAGAGTGATAGTTTGGGTAGACATAGAAAGAAACAACAAATTGAATGCTTTGGGCGTAAAATAGGTGTGACTAGCTAATAGAGTGGATATAGGACAATGGTAGTATGAAGGAAGGGGAGAGAAAAATTTAAGGTGACATGGGAGGAGGTGCCATTCATTGAAGGCATAGGGAGCAGAGCATGTTTGTGGGGGGATGTATGCAAGTGGCTTTGGGTATATGGCCTATTTAGTATTGGGCAGGCAAAGGCACCAAGGAGGCTGCTGGATAGGTAGCATTCACACATATGTGCCTTGGAAGGCTGCATTTGGAGGCAGGAATCCTAGGCTTAAGTTCTAGCTCCTTTCTGGACAGAAATAAATTTTACCCGGGGACTGTCACGTACATTCTCCGAGCCCATCTGGAAAATGATGATAATAATGCCTACCCTAAATTAGTTGGTCCTACAGTAAATGATTTCCATTTATACTAATGGAAAAGAATGAAAATGAAGGCCAACAAATGGAAAATGCACTGGAAATGAAATGTTTTTAAGTCAGGGGAAAAGTGGCCTGGTAATGTAAGAGAAAAACAACAAAAATTAACTCATGAAGGCTGTGCTAAAAGAGGTACAGGACTGCCCAGATCAGGCAACAGGGATGGATTTATTACCTCCTCTCCATCTCTTATCAAGAGATAAGACCAAGGTGTTGGAACAGTCCATCTGGAGACTGGGAGGTCCTCCACCACTACTTTACGATGCCCCATTCCCATTGCTGTTTTCCAGGAAAAAAGAAACACTTGAGTTCAAATTGGAGGGGGCATGGGGTGGGGTTGAACAAAGAAAAATAAGAAGACCTGTGTAGAACAGTGCTTCGTTACACATACTTTGGAGACAGCGACCTGAGTGTTGGCTCTGTCGTCTACTATATATCCATATCATCTTTGTCAAGTTATTTCAAGTCTCTATGCTTTTGTTTTCTTATATAACAAATATGGATAATTATAGTACCTCCTTTATAGGTACCATTATTTTGATGATTAAATGGGATAATTTGTGTAAAGCACTTAGCATAGTTCCTGCCGGAGAGTCAGAGTTTGGAAAAGGGTAGTTTTCATTAAGAAGAGTAATAATGATAATGTGTGAACTCTATTTATCAGTTCTTATTTAAAATGGGTCCTCCTCCCTCTTTTTTTTAATATTTGCCTACTACAGAACCCAGTGGAACATTGAACATACATTAGCACAGGTACACAGTGACCTTGGTTTTAGATAAAGTTTTTGTACCTTTTGTCTAAATCTGTAAAATATACTATCGCACCTCTGAGGATCTAAAGCCTCCCCTGAGAACTGGCAAGATGGATTGATGTTCCCTCTAGTAAATAAGGGAGAGGGGACAGCTCAACACATGGACAGCACTGGAGAAGAGGTAGTACGTTACCCGGAAAGGAGAGTGGCATTGCCTTTAAGGAAGGCATATTTCTTAAAATAACGGGCAACTCAAAGAAGCCAAGTTTAGCTTTTAAAAACTGCAAATCTCTGGAGAGGCAGAAGCCATATCTACACACTTTGTGGTTAGAAATTTCCCAGTCTTCTGATTGTAACTTTGCTGCTTGTCAGCTGCACCAGATTGAAAAAAAGAAATGGCCTCAATATTAAAGAAATAGTTCTGATATTGGGTACCGAGTACAAAGAGAGCAACATACGAAAGACCAAAACAGAAAGGGACAAAACATCCTTCATTACAGAGTGACCAAAAGTGTAAGCCTGGTGGAGAGTGAAAGGGTAGATACTGAACTCAGATGAGGCAGTGCCATTCAAAAGCCCTGTCAAGTCCCCACCCCAATGACACATCTAGTCCCCCATTATTCCTTTGATCTTCCCTCTCCTCTCACTCGTGCCATTTCCCTTGTATACCCCTGGGAGATCTTCAGGTTCACGAGCTAGGTGGGTAAGCAAAGCACACATGAAGTGTAAACACTTACAAAGCACATAAATGGAGGCAAATTGAGATGGTGTATAAGAATCTAAATATGAAAATCTGGAGGACCGCAGGCGCTTGGTACCTCTTGTCTCCTTTCTCTTGTCCTCTGAGCCATTCTCCTCCCCGTCTGTTCATAAAACAGTGTCTGTCCCCATGTTCCGGAAGGCCTGAGAAGGGATTCTGTTCTCTTTTCACAGTATTTTGTTCCTTTGTGTGAGCTGGTGCTCTGAGGCTGCAGATGAGAAATTATAATGAACACTTGGGCTTTGCTTCTTTTTCATTTTCACCTGACAGCGTTTCCTCCTGGGTTAGCTTTCGAGTTACCCCGAGACATGCAGTTTTCTGAGCTAAACCCTTAGTTGCTATAATGAATCCAGGTTTCCTGGATTTTGTTTTCTTATATAAGTGCCTGAGATTGTAGGATTTTTGATGTATTTTAAAATTTGAAGTTACTAGTTTCTGTTATTAAAGTGCAACGTGACTCTAATTTCCCAGATCATGAAAAAGCCTTAGAGGGCCATTAACGTTGTGACTGGAAGCAGTAGGAGGGGAAGAAGTAATAGTAATCAAGGAGGAGGAGGTAGATAATAGAAGTAGTATAGAATATGATAAAAGAACTATTATATTACTAGTAATGGAATATACTATCTTGATAATATAATCTTGGTAATTTGACTACCCTGTCTAGAAGCATAATGTGCTCTTTGACTCTCTTCCAGTTTTATTGAGAATATAATTGACATATGACATTGTATTTGTTTTAGGTGTGCAACAGATGATTTGATACTTATATACATCTCGTGAAATGATCACCACAATAAGTTTAGTTAATATCCATCACCTCACAGAGTTAATTTTTTTTCTTGTGATGAGAACTTTTAAGATTTACTCTCTTAGCAACTTTCAAATATATGATACAGTATTGTTAACTTTAATTACCAAGCTGTATGTTTTACTTCCAGAATTTATATATCTCATAATTGGAAGTTTGTACCTCTTGACCCTCTTCACCCATTTCACCCCCACACCCACCTCTGGCAACTGCCAACCTATTCTCTGTACCAATGAATTATTTTGTTTTGTTTTTAAAGTTCCACATAGAAATGAAATCAGAGTATTTGTCTTTCTTTTGTTCATGTAGTATAATGCCTTCAAGATCCATGTTGTCACAAATGGTAGGATTTCCATTTTTTTTAATGAATGAATACTATTTACTTATATATTAGAATATTTTCTTTTTTTTTATATTAGAATATTTTCTTTACCCATTCATTCACTGGTGGACACTTGAGTGGGCACTTGTAAATAGTGCTGCAATGAACATGGGGATGCATATATCTTTTCAAGGTGGTGATTTTATTTTCTTTAGATATATACCTAGAAGTAGAAATGCTGGATCATATGGTAGTCCTGATTTTATTTATTCTTTTTTTAAGATTTTATTTATTTGTTTGAGGGAAAGAGAGAATCTTCAAGCAGACTCCCCACTGAGTGAGGAGCCCAAGGCTGGGCTCGATCCTACCACCCTTGAGATCATGACCTGAGCCAAAACCAAGAGCTAGAAGCTTAATTGACTGAGCCACCCAGGTGCCCTGATAATTCTATTTGTAATTTTCTGAGGAGCCTCCATACTGTTTTCCAGAGTGGCTGCACCAGTTTGCATTTCCACCAACAATGCACAAGTGCTGCCTCTTCTCCATATCTTTTCCAGTATTTGTTAACTTACCTTTTTGACAATATTCATTTTAACGGGTGTGAGGTGATATTGTTGTTTTGATTTGCATTTCTCTGTTTAGTGATGGGGAGGCCTTTTCCTTGCCTATTGGATACTTGGATATCTTTTTTTTTTTTAACTTTTTTTTAAAGATTTTATTTATTTATTTGACTGGCAGAAATCACAAGTAGGCAGAGAGGCAGGCACAGAGAGAGGGGGAGGCAGGCTCCCCGCCAAGCAGAGAACCCGATGTGGGGCTCAATCCCAGGACCCTGGGATCATGACCTGAGCCAAAGGCAGAGGCTTTAACCTGCTAAGCCACCCAGGCGCCCCTGGATACTTGGTTGGATATCTTATTTGGAAAAGTGTCTGATCAGTTTCTCTGGCCATTTTTAATTTGGATTGTTTGTTTTGTTACTTTTGGGTTGTATGACTTGTTTATATATTTTGGATATTAACCCCTTATCAGATATGTGATTTATAAATATTTTCTTCCATTCCATAGGTTGCCTTTTCACTTTATTGATGCTTTCCTCTGCTGGGAAGAAGCTTTGTAGTTTGATACAGTCCCGTTGCTTATTTTTGCTTTTTTCGCCTTTGGTTTTGGTGTCAAATCCAAAAAATCATTGCCAAGGC